CTGCGGCCCCCGGCGCCGAGCCAGCGCGGCGGCCCCGCAGCCACGCGGCCGAGCGTCCCTTCGCCTGCAGCGAGTGTGGGAAGAGCTTCCAGCACCGGGGGAACCTCATCACCCACCTGCGGGTGCACACGGGGGAGAAGCCCTTCGCCTGCACCGTCTGCGGCAAGAGCTTCAGCCAGAAGGGCGACCTGATGCGGCACCAGCGCATCCACACGGGCGAGAAGCCGTTCGAGTGCACCGTCTGCGGCAAGAGCTTCTGCTCCAAGCAGACCTTCATCCTGCACCAGCGCATCCACACCGGCGAGAAGCCCTTCTCCTGCACCGAGTGCGGCAAGAGCTTCAACCGCAAGGCCAACTTCATCACCCACCAGAAGATCCACCGCGGCGAGCGCCCCTTCATCTGTGCCGAGTGCGGCAAGGGCTTCTGCGCCAAGAAGACCTTCATCCTCCATCAGAAGATCCACGTCGGCGACCGGCCCTTCGGCTGCTCCGAGTGCGGCAAGAGCTTCAGCCGCAACGGCGACCTGACGCGGCACCAGCGCATCCACACCGGCGAGCGCCCCTTCGCCTGCGCCGACTGCGGCAAGTGCTTCAGCCACAACGGCGAGCTGATCAAGCACCAGCGCATCCACACCGGCGAGAAGCCCTTCACCTGCACCGAGTGCGGCAAGAGCTTCAACCGCAAGGGCACCCTCATCACCCACCAGCGCATCCACACCGGCGAGCGCCCCTTCGCCTGCCCCGAGTGCGGCAAGACCTTCAACCTGAAGACCACGCTGATGAAGCACAAGCGCATCCACACGGGCGAGCGTCCCTTCACCTGCCTGGAGTGCGGGAAGAGCTTCAAGTACAAGGGCAACCTCCGGACCCACCACCTCACCCACACGGTGGAGCGGGTCTACCCCTGCACCGAGTGCGGCAAGGTCTTCAGCCACAAGAAGGAGCTGACGGTGCACCAGGGCGTGCACGCGGAGGAGAGGATCCTCTCCTGCTACCGGGAGGGAGAGTCCTTCAACCCCTTCCTCCCCATGCACCCGCTCCTCATGTCCTGCACCCAGCTCCCGGTGCCGCTGGAAGCCTTGTCCAAGTACAAGTAGGAGGGCTGGCGGCAGCGGGGAGAGCCCGGCGCCCTGCCCGTGGCACGTCCCCGCGGCTGGAGCGGCGAGAGGAGGAACGGTGCCATCGCTAGAGACTTAGACCTGCTGCAGGGCCGGCGGCGGATCGGGGCCGGCGGTTTCCCCGGCTGTCGGGCGCTGTGGTGGAGCCCCGGGTCCCCGGGGAGGAGGCGCCGGCC